TACATCTGGTGCAAACAGCGGCTCTGCAAGGTCAGAGAGGAGAAAAGGAGAAAGATGTAGACACAAAAGGATTCCCCACTCCCATATAAAAAATAGTCCACAGAGAAAAAACAGGGATTGTATAAGTTATTTTTAAAAAATCTGTAAAACAACATAGCCAAGGATATTTTAAACACAATTATATAAACACCACATGACTTAATAGTAGGAGAGAGCATGAAAAGGTTTGGTTTAGGGAAGGGTTTTGTAGAATGAGTTTCCTGGCCGGATCCCTAGAATGTCTCATTTGGAAACAGATGCCCAAGAAAAATCACTGCCATGAACAGGAGGATTTTGTGAGAGAGAGGGGTATACCCAGCAAAACAGGAGAAGGATCGTAACACAAAATGCCAGAAGAGATTAATTGAGACACCATCTCGTTTAGAGGAAGGATCCAGCTCATTCCAGAACTCAATTAATCAGCAACTTACTAGCAGTTCCAGTTCGTGGCAAGGCTGTGACCCCAGAGGCTGGTCTGTGCGGACGAACCCTCCCAAATCCCCAAGACTCCCTGTAGGCACACGGGTCTTGCCTGCTTGCAGTTACCTGCAGGACAAAGCCCTGCCAGCCTTGCTGGGCTGACACGTCTGCAGAGCCACCTGGATCAGCTCTCGCTTTGGTCCTCAAATTTCCAGTGATTGCCACGGCCAGAGAGAAACAGCTACCGACCGAATCCGAACAGGAGTGCCAGAGTGGGCTTTAGGGCACCGCTCCGGAAACCACCTAATTCATCGTTTTACGTATGTACAGAGCACAGCGCTGGCCGTTTGCAATGCAGGTTTATATCAGCTGTCACCTAGCAGAAAAGGGTACCAAAAATTAAGCCAGAAACGGCTCTTGCTTCGCAGATGTGTGAAGTCCTGCATCCTTTGCAGCAAGGGCTCCCGCCAGCCGCTCGGAGCAGGCAGATCAGTAGGATTTCTGCGAAGAACCAAGCATGTGTACATGGATCATGCATCGGTCCCTGCTCACGAGGAGTGTTTGAGAGTATTAATATCACCGCTTGTCTGCTGCCTTTCAGGACTTGATCATTCAGGGTACGATCCAATCTCTGCTTAACATATTGCTATAGAAACGCACCGACAGTGATATTAAAGCTATCAAACTTACGAGCAAATGCTTGACAGCACCATGTAAACTCTCCCAAAGCTGAAAAAATAAACTTTTGTCCTAAACATTTGGCAAAACTGGGCTGGCAGTTGGTGGAAGTCCTGGATGGATGCAGCCGCTGAACTTTACCCAGCCATAAGACACGTCTGACAGCAGAACTGTACAAACAGCTTCTTTTCACAGAGCTTGTTTGATTTCACCATCTCACAGAAAGTCTTGTCAGCTGGGAGGCCGAGGCGAGGAACAAGAGAAAATGAGAGCAGATTAACATTTTAAATAAACAAACATTGCACGTAACAGGCGGTGTAATTCGTTCCAGTGTTGGAGGAAAGAGAATTGAAAAGCAGTTGCTTTTAAGGGCATCTTTCACACAGTTTTAATGAAGGAATAAAGCAGCTTTGCAGCGAGTGGGAGAATTAGCCCCGAGACTAAACTATAGCCAAATACAAACGCTTGGATGCGTTTGAGCAACGGGCAGATATCCAGCAGTTCTGCCAGGTAAGCCGCCTGCCCATCGCAGCCAGGGCCCAGCTTGCTACAGCCGTGCCCCAGCAAGCCCAGGAGCTCCAGTGCTTTTGGCTTTCTGCTCTGAAGGGAATCCCCCAAACCCCTCATTTTTGCTACTGGGAAAGCACTGCTGTGCCAGCGCTTCTGCCACAACTACTTACCGTTGGTGCAGGTTTCATTTGTTACACAGGAGCCACCGAGGAGGCTGAAACCTTCCTTACACTTGAGGCAGTTTCCACCGGAGCCCTCGCAGGCTGAGCAGTGGTCGTCGCACCTAGGGACAGAGACCCTGCTGTGGTCTGAACCGGCACCGACACCCAGACCCCGGCCATCCAAAATGGGCTGTCAGCCAGAAAACGTGTCTGCCAGCACTGCAACACCCAAACTGAACCGGAGGATGTGGAAAACAGCGAATCTGAACCTTGAAAAGTTATCAAAGCCCCGGGAAAAATGGGCTCGGTGGTGCCAGCTCAATGCCCAGTGACAGCTAATGACATCCCAAAAGCGCCTGCTGGGAAGGCTCAGCGGTACATGCACCTCTCCTCCCAGCAATCCCAGTTAGAAAAAGGGCTGTGAGGGGAACCTATGCTGCTCCCACCCACTTGCTCAGGGAAAAAAGCCCATCAGCTGTGCCTCCCGCTTGGGGATGGTGGCTTGCAGAGACCATACCCAAAATCCCTGGGAAGGGATGCTGGACCCCTGTTCCTCCCTGCTGGAGAGCCAGCGTGGGTGAGTGAAACCCTGGGCAGGCAGGCACTGTACTGCATGTTCCCAAGTCACCTCTAATCCTTCCCTTTCATCTTCACTTTAACGAGGCTGAATCCACTCCCACTCCCCACTTAAAGCACAGAGTGCCGGTGAGTGGGAGCAAATTGCTGCCTCCCGGCATCTCCCAGTCTCCCGCATGCAGTGCCCGCGCTGGGCCAAGGCAGGTGAACGCTCCTCCAACACAGCCGCAGGGCAAACGGAGCAGGTTTGATTGAAAGCTGGAATATTTGCCTAAACATCACCATTCCTCCCACACCTCCTCCAAAGAGCCTGGGGCCAGGGCTGAGCCCCTTCCACCGTAGCCCTAAGACACCTTGGCTGGCTGACTCCGGCGGGGGAGCGTGCAGCTTTGCTGGTCTTAAATCTATAAGACAGGGGCGTGTGAGGTCCAGCCCCACGGCTGCCCTGGCTCCCTCATCCCTATTTTAATTTCCCTAGCAAACACCTCTAGCTGTGAGCTGTTTTCAGCTTCTTTTTTTTTTTTTTAATCATTGCTGCTAGTGCTCTGCATCGGTCCCAACTTTGCTCCGGTCACGATCAGGGAGGTAACGTACCTCTTGCAGACTTTGTTGGGCAGCCCGTGGCTGTCGGCAGGGTAGAAGCCCTCACGGCAGGCGGGGACGCAGCGCCAGTGGGGTGCAGGGGGCTCGGGGGCACACGGCGCGCAGTCCTCCTCGCCTGGCCCTGCAAGGACAGGGGAGAGAGCAGATGACATGGGCGGTTTTGGAGACGGAAGCCACATCGCACCAGCGTGGCCGCAGCCCTGCAGGAGATGAGGGGCACCGGCTCAGCTCTACACAGGAGTTAACAAGCTGTTTGTTGTGCCACCAGGGTCCTGCACACCTGCTTGACTCCCACTCCAAAAACACCCAGCCAGGACCCAATGTCCTGCCCGTCTGCGGAGCCAAGAGCTGGCCACAGGGACTCATCAGGGGACAGCATATCAAAATCTTCTCCGGGACATCAGCCACCGCTCCTAAGTGTGCACCGGTTTGGCTTTCCCACTCTATGCAGAGTAACATGTGGAAAAGAGATGCTAAATTGGGCTGCGGAGGAGCTGGAGGAGGCAATGGCTTGGGGGAGGAGCTGGGAAAGCAGAAGGCTCCACTCTGACGCTGGCATGTTGCGGCTGGATGGCAAACGGTGGTGATGGAGGTGGTATTATTAGAGGCCTTCCACGCGCCGGGCTTGAGAAATGGTTATGCAGGAAAAGGAGACGAAAAAAGGCTTGAAAAATAATTGTGGTGAAGTACATTTACACTGACTGGAATAAGAATTAGAAGGGAAGTAATTTTCTTAAGGGATTAAGAGCCTGTTCCTTTCCACGCTTGCCAACAAGATCAATAAATATTTTGGATTTAGTCTTAGGAAATTGCCCATGTATGATAGATGAGATTCATGCCACTGAACATGAATTGTCTAGAGATCATATTATTATCAGATCTATGATGATTTCGAGGGCAGACGCAAACATTAACAATGGAAAATAATTGGACTTTCAAGAAGCGAAAAAGGCAGGATTTAAAGAGAACGCCGAGCGACCTCGGGCAGCGGGGGAAAGCCGGCAGCGGCCAGCCTGGCCCCACGGGGTGGCCGGGATAACGCGCCTCGGCTGCCTGACATTTTTATATGCTGCAAAGCCATCTTCCATCACTCCGAGAGGGTTTTATGGCCTCCTCTGCAACCTTATTAAACTAAAGCACCTGGCTTCAGAAGGATCGGGAAATAAAGAATGGCTCTAATAAAAATGTAAAAACTCCCTGAAAACCCTTCCAGTATGAACATACTCCCAGTGCCTTGCGGGATGTGCTGGCCAGCTGGGATTGATTCCCCTCCGGCACGCTCTGCCTTGGCTTGACATGGGTACGGTGGGCATCGGCTCTTGATGTATGAGGGTTTTGGGGTTTTTCAAGGGGATGCTGTGGGGCAAAGGACATACCTGTGCTGGTGGGACAGGTCTCACACCGCCGGGGCTCCCGGCTGAGGTACATGGCAGGCTGGCACTCCGGCACGCAGCTCTCTCCTGCCAAGCTGCCAGAAAAGCAAAGAGGATGTTTGCACCCAAAGCTACAGGCTCTGGGGACTCGACTCCGCATCCCCCAGTGCTTTACAGGAGCTTCAGCCCACAGCACAGGAGGCATCAGAAAGCCAGCCAGCACTTCACGAGAAATTAAAGTCCTGCCTGGACCAAAGCAATGGTTGCAGGTTCCTTAATTAAGTATAAATAAAATTATTTGTTTCCCCGCGGGCAGCCAGCCAGGCTCTCCCAAAGACCTTTTGCACCATGAGGCTTCCCGGAATAAAAGGAAATTGGTTCAGTGCTGTGGCTGCACCGGTGCTGCTTCACCGTGGCAGGGATGATTTGAAGTCCCGGCTTAAAAGGATATTGGACAATAAAAAGCAAGCGCCATGCAGATTAAGTCTGACAAGTGCCTTTACTTTTGCTTTTCCGAGGGAGTAGACAATCTTTTGGCAGCGGTAATTTCTTTGTCTGAGAGAGCCATGCTGCTACGCTCTGGCTGACTTACAGCCCCTGAACTATGCAAACTGCTATGGGATTGTACTTCCACGCACATTTGGGGACTGAAAACAGCTTTTCCCCAGTGCTGACTCTGCTCGCTGGCACGGCTGGGCTCTGCGTCCCACAGGAGCCATGTGGCCAGGAGCAAGGGTGCCCGGTCCTCCTCGCAGGGTCGGAGCAGCCCTGCCTGCACCCGCATTGTTGGAAGACCACTATCCTATACCAGCCCCACTCAACAGGTACATCGGATAAAATTTTCCTGCATGGATGAAGCTGAGGGAAGAGTTTCTGCACTTGCAGGGAGCATTTTCAGCCTGCCTGGAGCAGCTCAGCCTGGCACCGGCTCTGCCAGGTGAGCAAAACCAAGCGGCCTGTTTGGCTGGGACGGTTCTGACAGAGCTGCCTGAGACTCAGGAGGAAGCAAGCACTTTGCGATGTGCAGTGTAAATGTTTTCATTGCTTGTTTTGCCCCCCTTGGAGATGCTGCGATGCCAGAAGCTGCTCTGGTCACAGGTCACCAAATTTGTATGAGCGCTTCCGAGCCCGCAGCACAGCACTTACTTACCCACCACCCTGGCAAGTGTTGGAGAAAAGGAAATTAAATTTAAATCAGGCTTTTCAGCTAAGAAAGGGGCACAAAGCACCACCTTTCAATTCCCAGCACTCTGCGCCACATCTGTGGTACCATGGAAGCAGGATCTCAGGTCTTTAACTAATTCACTCTCTAATTTCCCATCGGTTTTCCGAAATTTAAACCACAGATACCAATGCTGCAGGTATAAACTCCTCCTGTGCTGATATTTTACCTGAATCCATCTTTGCATGCAGTACATTTGTCTGCTTCACCGACACATTTTTTACAGCTTTGATGACATTTCAGACAGCGTTTCTGACCTTTCAAAAAACAAAGCAAGGCAGAAAGAATAAAATCTGGACAGTGATTTGCAAAGCCCCGCTGTACCCCAGCGCCAGCTCCCTGGGGCGGAGAGGCACGTCCCCCACCCTGACGGGCCCCTGCTATTGCAGATGACCTTATCTGTCATTGATTGCTAATAAGAAATATGCTTTGCAAGCAGCTAGGATCATTAATTACAGTCTTCTAATTCAGAGCTGAGTTAAGCGCCTCTGCTTTGCACCACGCTCTGCACACCCAGAGGTTTTCCTCTTCCCTTCGCTATGCAAAGCAGGTCCGGGGGGGTTGGAAATTCAAAGCCAATACTCAAAAATCAAGGTATTTTCTCCACCCATAGCACTTAGAATAGAAACAACCCCTGCATATCCTCATGCTATGGCTTGCAAGTGATAAACATCCTTACGTTCCTCGGTGTAAAACCCGGCCGGACACAGCACCACGCAGGTGCTCATCTCCTGGTGATGGTAGAGGCTCCGCTTGCACGCCGTGCACTGGGTCGGTCCCCTCCCGACGCAGCGCTCGCAGCCCTTGTAGCACCGGCGGCACCTCCGGGCACCTTTGTCACCGAAAAACCCGGCGGGGCACGAGCTCACACACATCCTAGGGAAGGAACCGAGAGCGCATGGGCTTTGGTGCCAACAGCCGACCACCTCCGGGCAGTCAGGCGCTCGCCGCCGTCCCCTCGCCTGCAGCGTTCGGGGCATCTCCCAGCCTTGGTGGTGATTTGGGCTTGTTTACTTCTTATTCGTAAGATTTAGGGTGTCTTGAATGTCGTGGCTCTGTAACAATGAGCGAGGGACTCTTGGCGAGCAACCCGACTATGGGTAAACTTTCCCTATGCCAGTCCAAGGGACTGAGAAGTGGACATTCCAGTTCCAGAAGTGATTAGACACCTCAGCTAGCTGTCCCTTGGGCATGAGTGACCCTAGCCAGTGAAGCCAATGCTTCTTCCCCAGCACAATTACATGGCCAAGGTCCTCCAGGGCTCTCCAGCTCCATGTCCCCCAAACCCATCATACCCTAGTCCAGGGCAGGGATCCCCACGCCTCCTCCTCCCTCCATTTTCTCTCTCATACGTTTCGTTCTCTGTGCAAACATCTATCACCCACGCTGTGGTGCAAGCCCTGCGGAAAGGCACTGCCACTGCCCGGGGACCCTGCAGGGACACCCCACTACCCCTCACCTGCCGGTTTTCACGCTGCCCAGGCTGTAGTGGATGCAGTTCAAGCACTGGTCGGCATTGGGACCGTCGCAGCCCTGGTCGCCGCACTCGGGGTGACACGGACCTGGGGAGAGAGAGGATGCTCTGAGCACACCCTGCCTGGACCGACAGATGCAGGGAAGGGGCTGGGGACCCTCTGCCTATCTTATCCTGTATCTATTATCTCATAGATCTTATATATCTTATCCTATCTATCCTATGGAGCTGCATGGCTCCGGGTGCTCATCTCTCCTCCAGCTCATCCTCCCTGGCATGAACCCCACTCAGCCTTCCTCTGGCTGAACACCCCGGTGCAGGAGCAGCTTTGAAAGAGGGGCTGGACCCACTCCTCGGGGACCATCAGGGACGCCCGCCCATGCCCGTGCTGGGTGGAAGGTGGGCAGACAAGCTTTTTTTACTCCTCAGACAGCTGCACTACCAATTTGTGGCGGGAGCGCCGGGACGGGGCATTTTGCTACCTTCTAATTTCACCGTCCTGCTGCCCCGCGC